AATGTAGGACGCAGCATGAAAAGCACTGTGATCCTCCTGGCTTGCAGATATACTCGAGCATGATGGTTTTTCCGAGCATTCGTGCTACGTTGCAATGCGCACTCCCTGTTTTCACTCGCAGACCGGGCTAGTGACCGTTGAGACGTGCGGGCTTGGCTCGTAAGACCAGGCGGTACAGCATACATATCAGGGGCAAAACCGCGGTGAACGTGGGAGGGTGAGGCCCGGCGCGAGGCGTTTAGAATGCAGTGGATGAGATAATAGAAGGCGGCGTCTACATAAGTACGGTGGCAGCACAGCCGCTTTACGACGTGCATTTCCTACTAGCCCGTAGGGTTCATGTGCTTGAGGCCTGCTTTCACAGAGCTGGGCGCCGACTTCCACTACGCCAATTTCGGTGAGCCCGGAGCCAAACGAAAGCTTGTTTGATTGTCTTGAACCGATGATTTGACTGTTTTCTTTTATCTAGGGATACCAAGCTCTTACTGTGTACCGGATCGTAGTTGTGCACATTATCCCACGAATTTTCCGACTTTTGCGGTGTGGTCGGAGGTCTCAGTAGCTCAATCGTGCCAAGTCCATAATCAGAACGTTGTGTGTTCGAAGACGAGGCGTTCTAGGAATTATCCTTTAGTTGCATATGGAATGTGTTGAATCATTTTCTGTCAGCAAATACATGCTGTCAATATAATGTTGTCTACAACCCAAGGGTGTCACTTTTTAAAATCGGTTAGATCGGGGAATCGCATTTCAGCCGGAAAGGTTGATCTCACATGCCTCTAAAACCTGATTTCTCTCCGAATTTCTGCCACCTGAATTTGGTTCCTTGATGACGGAATTAAAAATCTACATGGTATTGCGTAAATTCAAACCTATTTTCATGCGGATGAATTACTTATTATTTCAAGTTAATGAGAGCTACATTTTTGTGCAATGCTTAGAATGGAGTGTCATTCACAGACAGCCATCTTACTAACACTGAGGACTACCGTTGTAGCTGGTCGTGCGCCGCAGGCACGACCATGCGACAAACGCTCTTACCACTGTCGGATGAAAACATGCGTTAACTTTCCTTGGGGCCATCCTGTGCCTTAAAAGTTACCATTGTAGTCTATTGCTCTTTATCCCAACCTGAGCTATCATTTGAAAAGTGATCAAGCATTTGCGGACTGGCTTAACATATGGGGAGTTAGCAAGACAAAAAACATTAGGTATCCGCAGGATACTGTTTGATATAAAATATACATGATACTGACAGTGAGGTGTTTAGCTACTTACCGCCCAGCTAACCAATAGTCAAGATAATCGTCTGAAGTTATTTGGTCCAGTCCTCCCTCTTTACTCATGTGGACTGAGGGACTCAGAGGAGTATTGGGGAGGAGGGGGGGGGGGGGGGCGGGGTCTAGCCAGCATTGGGAAGGGGCTCAAACCTTCCTGGAAGTAGGGAAGCCCTCCTGAAAGTAGTGACGCGCATGGACTACACGACCCGTTGAGAGTTCTGGCAACGATCATGAGCATAACATCAATTGCAACTCGCTTTCGTTTTCTCGGTACCAAGTTTCCAAAGTATCCAGCAACATCATTAGGCATTAGGTGGGCATTTAAATGGATGTAATGGGTACGACAATATGAAAGGTCTTGCAGGCTTCCTAGGTCCTAGGATTGCAACCATACCTCAACAGTTTGGCAATCTTCAGCAATAGTGTTGGCCCGAAGCCGTTGCTTGGCTCAAACACTGAGTGCTGGGTGAGAGTCAATAGTTATATTTTAGCATACTCAGCTTAAACAGCCACACAGAGAGGTAGCTGCGTATTCAGTTGGGGAGACTGTGCCCTCCATCCGGTGGTGCAGCTTCCTTTTCAGATGTCCCCTACCCTTCCATGTGGGTTCCACTCAGGCCCCAAGTTTCAGAAGAAAGAGGGGCCAATCCGGACAGTGTCGGCGTCATTTGTAGGAAGGTTGGACTATTTTACAGGACTCAAACTCCCCCTTCCTCTCCTAACTCGCTTTGTGGAACTTCGCCGCTGCTTCCAATTATGAAAAGAATGAGGGCAAAATATGGGTATAGGTCGGTTTAGAGGTAGCTTTGCCATTTTGTCTTGCTGCCGCCTCCTCCACCCACCTTTTAGATATATTTTCAAGAGTTTACTTCCAGCTGCGTATCTTTCAATCGACGTGCTCTTTCAATCACCTGATAGCATTATCACACTCAAATTTAAACAGCATCCTGTGTTTAAGCTAATAGTTCCAGCATTCCACTGCCAGTTAAACCAGCGATTTACCATTTCAAAATCTTTGCTCTTCGCAGCAGCGGGAAGCTCCGGATGAATCCTTGGTATGCGTTGCTTCGACATCCTCCGCTGTCGTATGAAGTCTTAGCAGCAGCGGGAAGCTCCGGATGAATCCTTGGTATGTGTTGCTTCGACATCCTCCGCTGTCGTATGAAGTCTTAGCAGCAGCGGGAAGCTCCGGATGAATCCTTGGTATGTGTTGCTTCGACATCCTCCGCTGTCGTGTGAAATTACAGCTCGGATATCTGCAAGCAACTGCCTCCTGCCTATCTGCCTCCTGTCTAACTTTCTTGTTTTCTCACGCTGCTACCAGAATCGTCCTCCGTGGTAGATCAACGTAAGAACTGCGCTGATAATAAGCTACTCCCATGAAGCCGTCAAGCTTTTCCCGATACGAACACAACCAGCGGCGGCTTACACAGCGACGCTTACGGCCTTGCACTGAACCCAGTTCACTACCGCGTCGCCAGCTTTCGAAGCCATCAGTCTCAAATGGCACGACAGTTTAAGACATCGCGTAGTAGACTCATCACGTCCGCCGCAAGATACTGAGACAAACCAATATTCCCACGATTGGTAATCGGTCTAGGCGTCTGGTACTTCATGCTGTTTAGTCCCTGAAATGTGTTTGGGCTGAAACGCATGTGAAAACATTGATCCAACGGGCATCGCTAAAGCACTGTATCATCACCAGTCTGTGATGTTAGCGCTGATATACTGCAATTTGTAGCGTATTTCTAATCACGTGCTAGAAACTACCTGGATAAAAAAATATTATGTCGGGAAGCATTCAGTGACTTAACTTGTTCATGCCACAGCTCTCACATAAGCTCGACACGAGGCCATGCTGTAAATGTCGCCGAGTGCGGACCAATACCGAGCCTTAAAGGCCGTCTGACTAGATTGGTCTGTTATAGTTTTTCGCTTTTCGCGGTTTTGTCACCAAATAGCACGCAAATTATCAATTTTTGTCACCGACGCTGTCCGGTAAGTCTTTTCCTCCCATGTACTGCGCTGCGCGATAGATAGATGGCAGCCTCGTTCGGGCTTTGCGGAGCGCCGCTGCTCGCCGACGAGGAAAACCGCTGCTCAGTGATATCTCAGCAACGAAAGATGAGAGGCGTGCCAGCCAGTAATTACCCTTTAAATGTGTCTGCTTCTTGTTTACACAGATGTTCGTAGTTGCAAGGTTTGACCGCGTGCACCGGCGGCATGGACAGTTTGCAGACTGATACCTTTAGCGTCGGAGGATGACCAGCCATTCTCGCTGGTGCGATATGGTTCTCAAGCTAACAGATGACGGCTGAGAATGTTGTCAGAGTTACGAATAAGACCTATCGGAGCGCAAAAGGGTGATTCACGGGGAGAGCGGCCCATTGCCTTATATTGGGGCTTTGCTTGGAGCGACGAACTCTTGCTACGTATATAGGCGAAAATGTACACTACCAGTAGGAGATTCAACAGCATCAGTATTAGTAACCGAAAAAACCTTATCTTTTCTGGCGCCGGGGGCTTCGCCGGCTAGAGTTTTGAAGAGCAAGAAAAAGCTACGCCAACAAGATACACACGGTGCCGCCGACCCATGATGGGCGACCGGTGTTTTAAGACCACCATCTCTCCTCAAGGAAAATTAACAATGTGCGCGCTGTCATAAGTCACGTGAACCTAAAACTGCGTCTTGTCATTTCCCGCCCTACCGTCGTTGTCGCCGCCGCCATTCCACTGCTCCTGCCAGACAGACGCAATCATGTATACGTTGTCCTGGGTCTGGCGACCGTCCAATCCAGGCTGACGCCGTCCTGGAGACCTTGAGCCACTGCGGAGGGCCGGGGCTACCGCAGGCGGTCCTCCGCACACCGCCAGGGCACTCCGCGCCGGGAGCTCGGCCGTCGTCAGCGGTGAGCAGTGCAGCGGCGTGCTGCCGTCGGCGGTGAGCAGGAAAACGGCGTGCTGCCGTCAGAGGTAGGCAGTACAGCGGCGCGCTGCCGCTACACGTACGAGACGCCCTCCTACCTGCTCTCTAGGGAAGCTCGACCACTTTGCCGCATATGCGGAGCACCTATGTCCGTGGCCCATGTGCTAGATGAGTGTCGGAACTTTGAGATTGAGAGAAACCGATATATTGACCAGAATTACATTCCCCTGGCCTGGCTGATGGGTGATCCGTTGTCAAGCAATGTTTGATCAGTATCTGCCTTTTCAAAGACATTGACTTCAAGCTTTCGTGCTCACCGACCTAGACAACTGAAAAGTTGGACCGCATGGCCTTCATGCGATTTGTCATTCACGCCGTGCAGTTCTGGCACGCGGCTGATGAGCTTTCTGAGAGAGCAAGACTTTGATGACAATCTGCTGACGTGGTTGTGGTTAAGGTTCCGTTGAAATAGGCTCTGAAAAAACAAAACACGGGCGCAGATGACCAATGCAGTTGACACGCCCTTAAAAGCAAATCATTAACTAACTAGCAAGAGCAGCTTTGCGCTATGTCAAACGAAGAACTTCGTCAGCGTTTACCAACAGCTAGGGGTTTCGAAACTTCAGACCGATCGTGACCAAAGACGGTTTTAGCTGGATGATGCTTTGCGATCCGGGGTTTGATAGGTGCATATTTGCAGGCCGAATTGATCTGATGTCATGTCAACTATAACGTGATTCCGGAGGTGAATACTCATCATCTCCGCTGACAACAGTGCTGATGTCGGTCGTCAGGCACCAGAACAGCGGCCAGCAGCGAAGCCGGAGGAGGAGGCACCAGAACAGCTGCCAGCAGCGAAGCCGGACAGCGAGACTGCACCACGAAGCTGACGACGCGCGCCGCCAGCAACTGTCTTCCGGCATGAGGGTGAGCAACCACAAAACGCCGCGGGCTGACGGCGGCTGCGGCGTCCCCTCAGCCGTCTGACGACCGCTAGTGAGGCCATGTGAGCTTTCAGATGCATTAATATCAATGTCCCGTGAACATACTCCCCAGGCTGTTCTGCTCAGTGGTAGTTGGCGCAGGTTTGATGGCAGACACCGATGAGATATGGACATTTCGTGCACTAGATATGCTGTTTTTTTGTGTGGCAGAGTGCAGTTTGACTTGGCTTCCATCAACATTGATACATTTATTGGCAGCTGTCTTGCTAAAGTGTTCCGAGTCCGGCCGCGCCGACCCAACTTGACACGTGCGCGGGTGCCCAGGTGGTCGACCTGCGCAGTGACACGGTCACCAGACCGACCGATGCTATGAGGCGCGCCATGGCGGAGGCCGAGGTTGGAGATGACGTCATGGGTGACGACCCAACCGTTCAAGGTTAGCACCAGCGCACTCGCATCATTAATTTATGACGTCACGCACTACTTATTTCCGAGGTGTGTTGCACATGTGCATTTTAAAAAGGCCTTTCATCAAACTTTGGTTTACGTTGATTAAAGTCCATGTGATGTTGCGCGATGCTTAGTAGTTACCAAAATGTTGTGGTCCAAGTTTTTACCGATGAAACAATGCCAGGAACATCGAGTCTTTGATCAAGTTTAGTGAAGATATTGTTCTATCGATCGTTGTTTAACTTTGCTCCTTCAAGCACGAAGTGAAAATTATGACGAAGTGAACATGCCATCCCCAACCGAGACAGAACAACGAAAATATAAGCACTTCAACGCCGATATCTAGTTTTCGTTTCGATCGTCCAGCGGACGGTGCCATAACGCTACGTAACATAACGTAACTGCCCAACGTTACACTCATGAGTATTGCTATTTCAGTCGACACCAGGCGGTGGAATCATGACATTGAAGAAACAGTAACTTACTTAGTACCTAGCCTTGATGAAAGAAGAAAGCACCCTGTCGCCGTCTGTGTAACGTCTCATACCGGCTGTTCTTCCGTCACAGTTTGAGGAACGATGCTGAACTTTCGCCAATATTTTGAAGCTATGCATTAACTGGTCATGTTAACCTGTCATGCCCACGTGATGGCCAGGGCACACGTGGCACGTGGAAACGCAATTCATTAACCTCCCACGGAAGTCTCAAAATTCGCGCATTGGTAAAGCTTTCTTATGGCGGCCGGAAACCTGGCGTAAATCCTGGTCACAGGGCGCCGTAGTGAAAAGAGCATCGGTATATTTCGACTTCGAAAAGAAAAGTCTATGAAAATTGCAAAAATACCAATTGGTGTCTGCAGCTGCTCAAGTGTGCGCGCGCAAAAACGATGTTGTAAGCGTCTTTATGAAGTTGGTTTTATATATTGCTGTTAGATCTTGCTCAACTTAATTATAATCGTATTCTGATGTAATGCCATTTCGTTTCGCTTATCTTCAGGCTAATCAATTAATTTTCGACTTTCCAGACACTTAAGTGAAGTCGCTATCTCTAGAATATACCATTTAGATAATTAGGTATCAATATTATTAATAACGCCAATTACTTCGCCGATTCCTCGAAATCCAGAGACAACCAAATTTTGTTTGATTTATTCTCTTTAAAGGCACCTATCCTATGCCTCTGGTGATCTCAGCACTGGCTTGTGACGATATGTCTGCAATCAATCGTCACATTAAGTCGAATGTCTGTTTTCAGCCCTTCAGAGGAAGGTGGCCGACATGCTGGGTTTTGAGTCAGCGCTCTTTGTGCCCTCGGGCACAATGGCCAATCTGATATCCAGTGAGTATTAACACTAATGGATGCTGCCACACGGCTTCACACTTTGCAGGATGCCTTTGTTTTTGAATGGATGGTGGCTAAGTGTGACGCGGCTGCAGACACTGGGTACAAGTCTCAGACCGCTCTCCGTGTATCACAAGGCACCAGTTGCCGATATTTTCCACCAATCACCTGCCAAGAATTGCACCGGTCCCGTGCAACCGCACAGGCCAATGACCAGCAGCCGTATCCCAGACTCTCCGCCAGTCAAGTCCCGCACATTTGTACCGCCGCCCAGCCGGCACCCAATCACACACCTCCAAACGCCAGTTGCAGGTGGTAGCCAACAGTGCAGCCTGATACGTTTCCTCTTGTTGCCTAACATTCTCAACGAGAGATCACGTGAACTGCGTGAGTCAGTGGGGGTATGCTGGTCTCGTCGCACGGCTGTTGAGGGGTCAAATCCCAGGGTGTCTGTGGTGTTCCGGACTACTTTTTGCTGCTTGGCTCGGGCCGGAAACGTTTAGTGTATTATCACTCATTGGAAATGCTAACTACAGTTGCGGGATGCTGGTCTCGTAGTACGGTTCCTGGAGAGTCAAATCTCAGGGTGTCTGTGGTTTTCCAGGGTGCTTTCTGCTTCTTGGTTCGGGCAGGACAATTATCGTTTGCTATCATTTATTGGAGACGTAAATCGTGAATTACATTCGTTGGCTAGAAGCTAATTAGTCGACATACAAATGATCTCACCACCTGAAAAGGTACCTAGGCACATTCAAACCTTTGACCATTTTGGTCAACTATCGTCCTTGTCATGTCCGTCGTCCTAGCAATCTGACTGATACAGTCACCTTTCATGGCTTCACTATGAGCCCCTGCATTGTCATCTGTCTATCACGTCTTTGGTAAGGCATCACAACCATCGCTAGCGGCCCTCTGACACTCGGGGTCCCTCGCAACGGTTTCTGTCCAGCAAAGCCCCCAGCCGACTTCAGAACCCTGGCTGACACAGAATCTCCTGTAGGCACTGTCGGCCCCTGGCTGACACAGAATCTCCTGTAGGCACTATCGGCCCCTGGCTGACACGGAATCTCCTGTAGGCACTGTCGGCTCCTGGCTGACACAGAATCTCCTGTAGGCACTGTCGGCTCCTGGCTGACACAGAATCTCCTGTAGGCACTGTCGGCCCCTGGCCGACACAGAATCTCCTGTAGGCACTGTCGGCTCCTGGCTGACGCAGAATTTCCTGTGGGCATTGTCGACCACTGGCTGATGCAATAAATATATATTGTTCCAATGGTCCCGACCGATACAAAAGGTTTTTTAGGCGATCACGGACTACGGCTTTGTCCCTACCTGGGCCCCACACCTCACGCCAACGGGAGACTGGCTTAGTATTGGTGGTCTCTGACCGTCCTCATCGTTCCAGCCTCCCCGCTGTATCGACGCAAGAGGCCCTCAGACTGACGCGTGAGGGCCCTGCCCTGCCGACCGGAGTCCCTTACTATGGCCTCCAGCGGGCCCACTTGAGCTTTTCGGGCCCTCCAGTCAGGCCCTGGTTGTGGCCAGACATCCGCTGTATCGCGTCTGCACCTCTGATTGGGTCTTGCTTTTAATATTTGGGGAGGTCTAAGATTTATTTGTTCCGGGACCCTGTCCTGTGAGATGCTGTTGACGAAGACAAAAGAATAGTCCGATAATGCAGAAGGACCCGATACAGCACAACACTAAACAATGCGATACAATACAATTCAGCTACACTTGCTTCTGGTAAGGGAAACATGAGTTAACCTTTATCTGGCTCACCTTGTACTTTAAAAAGCTGCCGCGTACTGCAGTACCTTGCTTTTTTCTGTTTTAGTCCAGGTGCTATCACGCAAAAACAACTTTTCAAACGTTTGCCCACCGGCCTGACACGTGAATGCGTTAGCAGGACCAACACTTGGTACCTGCCGGATGCCATTTGATGCACAATAAAATCCGCGACAGCTGGACATATAAGACCCTGGCAAAAGCGCAAAGCCCTCTGAACAAAGGGAAACAGCCCAAGACCAATGTACATAAATCAATGTTCTTGAACAATCATGAGTGCCTTGGGATATGAAGGTACAGGGTCCCGGACAGCTGCTTAGCGCGCTTTTAGCAAACAGGAAGTGTCCAAGACCATTATAGACAGCACTGTGCGATCACAAGTGCCCGGGCAGGTTAGCAGAAAGGTCCCCGACAGGAGTAAAGGGTTCTACGCAATCGAAATAAAAATAAAAATGCCCTAGATCAGTATAGGCTGCCCCTGAGCATCGAGTTCCTCGGTGCGTTGACTTATATGGGCCCCAGCAACAGCGCAGGTCCCCCAAACCAAGCGGAAAGAGCCCGAAACCAATATGAAGACCCTTCGAGCAACCAAGAACAGTGCGGCAGCTTGAAAGGAATGTCTCACGTTTGAAAATATGGAGGCTAGCATCAGGCATGATGAAATAAGCTCGCTTGTAACTATTGATATGCTTTTAAATCCAACAGACCCTTCCAGACAACACAATTTCTCTATTGAATGGCTATGCTCCACAATGGTCATCGTTTCATTGCGCCATGGAGCGTATATGTGTGGTCAGAGTGGCTTCCAATCTGGCCGTGTGAGATTGCCACCAGGGTGGTGGAGCTGACTCACTTGTAGTACACCAGCCTGTCGATAGTTGCCGTTCTATTCGGTGCGCGACTTACACAACCAAAATATGATCATGTGCGCGCGTGTTGGAACTTTCTCGTGATGCTCTTGCATTCTTGTTATTTTTAGCGTTTACCTGCATTCACAGGCTCAGTTAAAGCGTATTTCTCAACCTTTTCAACTTCGAGCCTTATTGCCGCCATAACTCGTATTGTTGTCCAACTTCCTGTATGAGTAGCACGCAACATGATTCATGTTCGAAGCTTGCACTGAACGTATCTGGTTGAGAGCCAGAGACAATTCGTTGATGTCATAAATGATGCTGACGTACGACACACCGACACACAGTCTGAAATCGGACAGGACTGTGATCGGCACTAAATGATCTTCAAGATCGCCATCTTAGTTCAACCCCCCAGCCCACATGAAAGTAGGGATTACTCATGCTAACATATAGGGCTCCGGCTATGACATGTTAAGCTTTTCGGGCCGATGGGAAGAATCCGTGAAGGTCTCCTGATCAAAACGAGTGCCCTGGCATGCTAGTAGATAAGGCCCCAACAACAGCGTAGAGCCCTCCGAGCAAAGACAAATAAATCAAGGACAAGGTGGAAGGCCTCTTCACCATCGGTTTTCCCTGCATATGGGCATATAGCCCCCCCCCCCCCAGCAAGAACGCAAGACCTCTGAACGGTGCAATGAGCCTTAAAATGTTCCCAGTCACCACTCTCTTAGCAAGCGAAAAATTGCCTGCTCGTGGTCCGCTCACTTTCGCTTGTGACTGTTCTTGGTCGCCTGGAGACCCAAAGCGTCCAGTTTTGTTGCGTCTTGTATTAAAAGCTGCTTCTCTTCTGCCGGCTAGAGGACCTCTTCAAAGCCATTATAGGCTCCTTCGGGGCCCAAGGGGGCATGACCCCAGTGACTCCTCTAGATTCTGATCCTGGTCATGTCGCATATTGCCATCACATCTGAAAATCACCCGTTCACACAATGGCCCGCCCCGTACACCCTGTCGCAAAGAAAATGAACGGAAGTGTGGGATTGAGGTGCCTGATTATTGGATGCAGTTGTAGGTGAGTTACCAGGCCGGAACAACGAACGAAGCGCTTGCATTCAATCTTGCCCTGTGATGCAGCTAACGAAACTAAGTCATATCATATATGGTACCAGAACCGTTATACTATCATAAACTGTATTAAAGGCAATTTGCCCGAATTCATGCGCTCTTGCTCACTGGACCTGGGTATGTATATTGTGACTGTCAAGTGTTATGCTTCACTATTCTCTTGACCTGAGCCTGCGACTGTGGGATATTTCTGTCTGCAGTCATGCACCACTGAATTTTGTGCGTTTTCTCCGCCCATAGTCATGTGTCACTGCACGGCCAGAGACAGCGAGATGATCGTGGGAGACAAGACTCACATCCATCTGTACGAGCAGGGCGGCTGCGCTACCGTGGCAGGTAAGGTTAGCGTATGGGCGTCTTCAGGCCCGTCGCCACTGCCTCACCCACAACAGCATGTGGGTGTCTTCACGCCTGTCGCCACCGCTTCACCCCAACAACGTGTGGGCGTCTTAAGGTCTGTCGCCACCGCCTCACCCCAACGGCGTGTGGGTGTCTTAAGGTCCGTCGCGACCGCCCCACCCCCAACAGCATGTGGACATCTTCACGCCTGTCGCCACCGCCCCACCCAAACGGCTGGGTCGGCAGCATTTTTTTTATTGGTTTTGATAGCACAGTCTGACGGCTGGTTGGATGTCTGTCCTTGACCGCGTTTACAGCCACCCCGAAATTTCTCTCTCAAAATATCAAAGCGCCCTCTTGAGCAATTACTAAGCGCCTACTACGTTGGAAGTGCCTTTCCGCGGGCTTGATGGACGAAAGCATTGCCAAATTGAGGGTGTTGCGGTGGGCTCACCTCTAGCACCTTATTCAGTAATTTTTTCTGGGGCATGTAGAAGCCAACACACTACAAAATGACAGCATAAGGCCGGACATTTACTGCCGCTACGTAGACGATATGTTTGTGGAAGTTAGGGACATTGACCAACTAGGGTGCCTCAAGAACAATTCTCGGCGCCAAAGATGTATTCAATGGTAGTACACAATTTTTATCCCTTAACACTCAGAACCTTTTTCTTATGCCATTTAGTCTTCTCCAACGATGAGATAAGTTGTATGTAAAACGTTAGAATGCAAAGAGCGACGAATGTATATATATATATATATATATATAATATAATATATATATATATACTTAATGTTTCATATTGAAGCCGACGACACGCTGAACCAGAACGCAGATAGTTCTGGAAAGCATAACCAGGCACTGCCAACCACGCACAGTCCCTGAAAATATCAAACGAGGCTTCATTTGCTCGCTCGAAGAGAGGCGGTACACTGACATCACGGCTCATAAAACAGCAAAAACCGTTAACAGTGAACACAGCCAGAGTTGAACTCTCTCTCCCCTCTCCCTCTCTCCCCCTCTCTCTCCCCCCCTCTCTCTCTCTCTCCCTCTCTATCTCTATCTCTCTTAGTGCGAATGGGCAGTGTGCAAGTGCAAGTAGTGCAAGTTGTTGAAAACCTTGACATAAAAACATTTATTAACCCTTTTCCGCTTACTTAAGTTTTCGCATTACCACTTTCTGCCCATCGTTAAGGGTGGACAGGTGCCTCACCAATGTTGGGTAATTTTAGCTTGATTATTTTGATTTTTATATGATTTTTATGACTATATTTTTATATGATTTTGTATACTTGATTTGATTAGCTGATATACATTAGCCTGACCTCTCAAAATCACATATTCCATTCTCAAAGGCACACACAACATACAAGGACGAATCAATTATGACATCAGTTATGCCCAAATAAGGTGAATGATGACTGAGAGATTACTTTACAATGTTGAGTCCGCACATAATGCTTTGATCATGACAATCTGCAGAACATAAGCTTTTTATGGGTCATTAGACGATGATGGTGTTCCTAGGGAAATACTTTCGAGTGCATTTCGGCGGTGTTCTCGTCTGATATGCTAATTGGGATAATTGTCAGATTTGGCCGTGCGGCTATTTTTTTCATGACGAGTTGAATAACAGGCTCTCGTAATATGCGAATCAGTTCTTATCTTGTCATCCTGGCTGACTGCTCTGTTTTGTCAGATTTCTTTTTCTTCAGGACATCCTTGGCTGTTCAATAGTTGTCAGGCATTTTATTCTGGTAAGATAGTTTAATTTTATTTTATTGATGCTGGACGCGATCTGTTCTTTTCTGATTTCGTGACATCAAACTTCATAACTACGCTGTCGATGATTTTGTTGGAAAAACTTCAAAACATTTAACCCAATTTCTGAAGGACTCGCGACATTCATTTACTAATTATGATTTGTTCTTGTCAGCATTAGCGGGCAGCTTTTTACCGTTCATGATGAACAAGAGGTACCAATGCCAGAACTTCACGGAATGTCTCAGATTTAAAGATATTGAGGCAAACATTAGATATAATGAAACAAGCTCACTTATAACTATTGACATGCTTTTTCAAGCGAAAACCTGCACCTGGCAGCAAAATTCTCTGTTAAGCAAATATGCTCCTTGGTATTTTATTGCTTGATGTCCAACCGCGGCATGACCTCTGAAATCACAGGTTTTGAATGGCGTTATTATGAAGTTTTGAATGCCAAGGTGAGCTTAAAACGCTGTACCCGAGATACACTTCCCCTTTTCGTCTGGCTCATGAATTGGAGGGGTTTAGGTCTTTTGAAGAGCAGGGATATGAGCTGCGCCGAATGGTCTTCAAGATGGCTATTTCAATTCTAACTCCATATAAATGTGGAACACAACCCTAAACACCCATACCGACTCACGCAATAAGCGACATATTTCGGCCGTCTTGTCAGAAAATCCCGCCTTTCGCACGAATGAACTACGATATTCTTCGTGCGTTATATTGTGCACTAAATCACAGATGGGATACGCAAAAGCTCTCGTGGAGAACGTGATCTCCCCCCCCCCCCCGTCTTGAACGGGTTTCCTTGCCGCTACAGGAGTACACGCGCGCGTGGCGCCGAACAGGCCAGACGGCACCATTGACCTGGATCTGCTGCGCGCCATGGTGCGCTCTGAGAACGTCCACTACCCGGTCACGAAGCTCATCTGCCTGGAGAACACGCACAACTGCTGCGGTGGCAAGGTGCTGCCGCTGGACTACCTGGATCAGGTCCGTGTCATGTGTGCGGCAGGTGATGAAGCGCAGGGCAGATGGCTGAGTATGTGGTACGGCCTAGGGACGCGGCCTCTACTGATGTGGTGTCGCGAGAGATGCCACCATGTCGACGTGCATCGGGAGCCGACACTGACGACGGCTCTGATGCTGCGCGCCTCTCATATGGCCTGGTGACAAACTTTGGTACTTGCGGCGGTCTCGTGCAGGAAGTTTCGTTGACTTGTGGCCTCGTAAGGTGATGACTACTATCTTGCTACATTTGCGTCGATCTGTCAGTCATTGCTGACCTTCATTTGGCATCGCTTGTCATCCGCTACACTGACGGTCGTTAGAGTGGCAATGTGACGCTGGTTAGAGCAATGGCTCACCGGCGGCAATCCGTGCACCTTGCCTGGCGACGACGGACAGCTGTGCTAGGTGCCTGTCCGACGCTGTAGCGACTGCGTTGTTGTCCGTTGATGACTGGCCGCCGTAGTGTAGTGACTGATTACAGTCTGGTGTGTTGTTGTTTTCCGTTAATGACTGACCGCCGTAGTGCAGTCACTGATTGCTGTCTGGTGTGTTCGTTTCCGTTGATGACTGACCGCCGTAAAGTCAGTGTGTGACGTCTGCTGCAGGCCGCGGAACTCTCCCGCGAACTGGGAGTACCTCTGCACATGGACGGGGCCAGACTGCCCAATGCTGCCGTGGCGCTCGGTGAGGACATCGTCATGCACACAATACTACATATTGTGCTCTGTAGTATGGCATGCAATGCTGGCCTCGGGTGATAATTTCAGTATGGTATTTTGCGTCTCAAAGACGTAATATTAACACACGCTAGGATGAGTGGTTGGTTGCACCGCGCTTGGATGTGGAGGTAGTGTGCAATTTTACCCCTGAGATTTCAAAAACTAAGTGAGTTGGAGGCAAACAAATTATCGGGTAGTTGGGGGTCTAAGTCAACCGTCTAATTTCGAAATCCACAGGCGCCTTTTACGTTAATTATGATCCCTTCGACCTCTTAAGCGCAGAAATAACCAAAAACCTTCGGAGTTTTTGTTTTACATCGTAAGATATGATCGACGCCATTTACTATACTAGGTGGCATACTTCCCACAGCAAAAGGTCGATCAAAATGTTTTAAGATCAGTGACCTCCCTGACATTTATTACGTCAGAATTATACACTTTTCGATGTTGTTATCCAGAGGCTCGAAATGAACGTCAAAGACCACCTGATAAAGCAAACATTTTGCTGAGAAAAAGTTTGGTTTGACTTTGACCTGGTCTTCGCACCTAATTCAAGATCAATGGATCTGCCCTAAACCTATTTTCAGCAGCCCTCTGTCTTTCAGGAACAGGAGCAAATTGACCTCCGAACGTATATTAACGTCCCCGATGGTCTGTGATGTATCTGTATCGTACGGTACGACAACGCTGCAGCAAATATCGCTCCATGCTCGTCTTGAAATATCCATGCTTAGACAGAGGTAGGGCCGAAGGAAGGAAAATTAAAAGAATGCTCGAAAAGTACGAAATCAAGCCCACATTTAAAATCGGTCTGTTCCATGCTTAACCAGGGAATGGAGCTACACGAAAAGCTTTCTGTGATGATGTAGGGACCATGTCCCCCTGTTAATGTGGCAATGCATATCTGAAAAAGTTCAGTTTGATCGTGCATCTCCACTAGCCGTTTCTGGATAGATGGGCCGAAGCGCCATCTATAACATTACCTGGTATTAGTTGCCACTTTTGCCGCCAGGTGTGCCCATGTCGCGAATCCTCCGCGGATTTGCATCCAGCACGCTGTGTCTGAGCAAGGCGCTGTCGGCCCCAGCGGGCGCGCTGATCGTCGGCTCAGCGCAGTTCATCAAACAGTGAGAGCTCGATGATGGGAGGTCGGAGCTGACTTTGGGTGGAAATGTGTCATCTAACTTTCATTACCTCAGCCGTCTCATAAATCAAGCCTCCTCTCCGGAAATGAAATGGCCGATTCGATCGTGGATCAAATCAATGACGCCGAGTTAAGGTACAGATCAACGGCTGGTTGTATCCTGGTAGAGAGGAACGCAAAATGTAGCACAAAATTCCATATTCCCATATTGCATGTGTCGATACTTTATTGCACTTCGACCTCACAGAATGGAGATGGTTATGTCAGTTTGTCCGATCATGCGCAATAAATCCCCTGGCACAACCCGCTGTAACATTTCAACGGCAAAGATAGTGCACCTTCCACTTGCCGGAAGTCCACCTTCCACTTGGTAAACATGCCGGGTCTCCGACCCGGCATGTCTTGTGTGCATATCCTGGCCGTGACCTAACCCACCACTGATCTGGTGTGTGACCTGGCGGTGACCTCAATGCTTACACCGTATGTGACCTGACCCCTGATCCGGTGTGTGACCTAGCCGTGACCTTAATGTCGACCCCGTGTGTGACCTGACCCTTGACCCGGTGTGTGAACTGGCCGCTCCCTAAGCCTGTCATCTAACTGCTGTAATTATTTGTGACCTGAATGCTGACCTTGTGTATGGTCCATGAACTCATGTGTGAACCCAGTGATGACCTCACCTGAGCTGACCTTAGATTCCATATGCGATCTCAACACAAGCCTCACGTTTGAGTCTTATCTCTGATATTACATGATCTGACCTCGTGTTGGACCTGATCGATAACGGTACCCTCGATTTTATGTGAGATCAGACCGCTGACCTTCAGAGAGTCTGACCCCTGGTGTCATGTGCGACATAACGATTGATAACGTCTACGTTCGGCATGATCAACCTCTCAGCATTTAATTTAAACTCTGACCTTGTATGTGACCTGATGGCTGACGCGTGCGTGACCCGGCAGGGCGCGCCGCACCCGGAAGGTTCTGGGCGGCGACATGCACCAGGTGGGTGTGCTGGCCGCTGCTGGCCTGGTGGGCGTGGAAGTCATGTGTGACCGCCTGGCGGACGATCATCGGCGGGCCCGCACGCTGGCCCAAGGTGAGGGCACCTGCAGCCGGCAGCGCAGGGCACGGACCATCAACTGTCACCAGGCGGCAGTCAACGCTCTTGGCGTTGGTCTGACCACTGATATCCAATGGCCCCGAAAGGTACCTAATTTTATTCAGCTAAATGACAGTTAAGACAGTCATCCAATCATTGATGTTGCTTTGAGTATTCTCCACCGAAATTTACGATTCTTCTCATGCTATTGCCGTAAGAAATGGGAGTGTTTTGTCGCAGTCGGCAAAATCCGGATGCCTGAAATATGGGCCGTTACTTCTGAGGCGGAAGGTGTGCACCAACATACTGTTTACCCAGCCAGCAATTAGCCTAGGGGAAAGGTCGGGCGGACCAGGGAAAGCTTGGATGCCTCTCATTTCCCCAACCGGCATGGGGAAAATGATTAGGGTTTCCTAGGCCCCTCCCTATCCATCGCCTGCCATCGGCCTTTGCTTGGGAAAACTTAGGATCTCCTCAAGCTTTTCCAACCATCAGATTCAAGATTTGCTTGGGGTGGTCTTTTTCAGGCGACGAACGCTCCGGACACCCCGCGTAGAATGATATTGGAAAATGGTCCGGAACAGGCTGAGAATCCCCATCAAAGTATCTTACTCTTGGAGCTTATTCCCCACGGCGGGGGGGGGACATTGGAGAGTTGGTGAGCGGTCGGGATATCCGTCTCGCAAGACAGTTTCTCGCGTTTGTGGTAGTCCGGCCATGGGAGAATCGCTCTCGCCATGCTTCTAATCGGAAACGTCGCACTGCCCACATGCGTCAACTGTATCTTTTGACTTGGCTAAGCGCTTATGATTTCATAGTGCCAACGTGAGTTTCCATACAAAGAGGACTCTCCTGGAGCTGACGGGTGTCCACAGTTGCCAGCCCGGTTCTTCGAGTTACGCCCCGTCTGCTCGGTGCTCGCAGCGATCAACAGCTGTGGCCAGCCCGGCGCCTCCGTGGACCTGGAGAACCTGCACAGCAACATCGTGTTGCTGGAGCTGGACCCGGCTGTTATACTGCCCCGCCAGTTCTGCCAGAGGATGCGAGAGGTTAGGTCGCGCAGCCGGCCGGCGTCCGCTTCAGAAACCATGGGAAGCGTACCGGCCTGGAATGTGTATACGGGACGCCAGTGAACAGTCATACGCTTTTAGTAATCAATTTCGAAGATTTGTTTCCACATCAACTGTTTTAAAATGCGCCGGCTGCTACTTTCGAATTCAGCAATGCCTTGTAGATGTGCTTGTAAAAGAAGAGAGGAAGCTCGTCCTCATCACTGCTTATTAAAACGATTTTTTGGCGTGTAGAAAGGCATGATCGTGCCGCCTTCATTCTTTTGCATAGTACGCGCATAAAATGTCGACTATCGAAGGACACAACCGTAACAAGCTAGCGGCCTTTATTTCATTTACCGCATGCATGGAACCCCTTCCAGGGCTGGATACCTCCTGTAGTTGTGTACGCTCTTTACTGGCCGGACATTGATCCAACTGACGGCTATCGGGCAGGTGCCACCTGAGGAGCTCCAGGCGCTGGGGGAGCAGGTGGTGGTGCGCATGTCCCCTCTGTCCGCCTCAAACGTGCGCATGGTGCTGCACGCCGACGTGAGCGACGCAGACGTGACGATCGTAGCGCAGAAGCTGGCGTTGGTCATTCGAGGTCTGGGCGATGGCCGCCAGACGCCGGAGAGCGTGACGCCGCCGCAGCAGACCGCCAGCGTCATCGCAGAGTAGCCGCGGCCAGAGCGGAGCACTTCGCACTGGATATAGCACTAGATAGCTGCGCAGAAGCCTGGTACAACCCTGGAATACGTCATGAAAGGAAAAATGAAAGGAGAAGTTATAATGTGCAAATGACGAAGAATGAAGCGACGGAAACTAGAAGCGGAAATGCAGAAGCAGTGGAAACGAAAACCCGGGACCGACGAGAAGCGAAAACACGGGAGCAGCGTGCAATGAAAACGCGGGATTAACGAAGGGTGAAAAGTAGAAGAGTATCATTACGAGGCAGCGATGAACAGTATGTGTGCTGCTGTTGTGGAGCATGTCATGGCTTGATTATGATGCAATGATTGTTTTGATATGATCGCGTGATAGCGAGGCTTTCCCATAATATCGCTCGCCGGCTTTGACGATGCGGTACCATCCTGACCGTACTGCCGAGTATGTCAGAATGTCAGGATTGTCCCAGCAATACAGAGCGTGCAGCCAGTGATCATGAGAGGCAATAGCATATCAATGCGATTTCCATAATTAGTGCTAGCGGCCAGCATATCGCAAACACACCATTGTGTTTTTGGACATCGAACAACAGTTTTGTGAATCACTGGTATCCACGCGCTCCGGGGTTAACTTTGTGAATTATGAAGAACATGTGCTTGTGAAAAACTTAAAATGGCAAAGACTTCAGTACTTTTACAGGTTTGGCGATATTTTACCTGCGTACCCAGGGCGCGGCGGTGCTATGCACGTGTGAAACTTGGTTGCCTGAAGCAGGATGTCACGTTATCTAGTGTTGGTAAGGCCGTGTCCCCAATTTCCAACATACGGCGCGCCTTTACGAAACAAATGCATATCAAAACTTTCAAACTACTTCTGGACAGGGAGCTAGAATCGCTTTTGAACTAGGGTGGGAGTGAAAAATTCTGTCGCAAAAAGACCGTGCGGGAGGGAAAAAGTAATTTCACAAAAGATGGAACTTATGAGCTCGTGACTGATGCCTCAGCAAACAAAGCTGTCTATTTCAAGTTGGCATGGACGTAATGTCAGAAACCTGACAAAACTGCTTTGTTTTTAAACATCTTAGGCAATTAAAGTGAAAGAGAAGACATGAAAGCATAGTAATTTCATGACAATGTAATAAGCATACAAATTATTAGACTCCTACACATCAGCCCATCCCCAAGTCAAACACAATATACATACTTCTGGCTTCTGTTAAGATGGGGTCAGGGAAAACAAACGTTTAATCACTGTTTCTTACAAAACACCAATGCGTATTTCCATGAAGGTAGTCTAGCTGTGCCTAACTTAAAGATGCCTTACTTCATCTCATCCTGTCTAACCTGTTTGTATCACGGCAACAGCCGTGAGTTACTGATTCTTGCACAATTCCTATTGCCAATTGCCATGCACTTAACCAACTTAACCTAACTTAGAGTGGCCCATATGTTGAACATCATCTCAACTCACCTGTCTGTTGACGGCAATACTTATGATATAAACATGATAAAGCTAATTTTTGGCTGGTTTCAACCTGCATTTTTATTCAGTTTATTTGTGTATGCTTGTTGATATCAGACAAAGTTGACAACACACAAATCAAAACACTTTAAATCACTTTGAACATTTTTTTAAATTGCCATGGTTAACCTACGTCAAGGGCAATAATGGATATGGCCCACAAAACAATATCTCTTCTCCAAAAGTAACATGAGTTTTAGATGACCATATCAGTATTGCTGCTTGCCTTTTCAGCTGCAGCAAAGGCATCTATTTGGGCTTGTTTATTCATATTAAATAGCAAAGTTTGAGATGTTGGCTTCGAATTTCAAATTGGATGGTCTGACTATTTGTCACATGCTAATATTTAACTCTTATTATAATTGCTATGCAGCTTAGAGCATCCCTGTGTCAAAAATAGAGTACATTTCTACAGTACAGCCATTTGCCAGTCAGTAAACCATGACAAGTACAGAAAACATCTGGTTAAAGCAGCCATGAGGGACCGCTTCAAGAAATTTGGGGCAAATAATCAAGAAATTGGAACTAAATAAGCCCATTGCATGCCTTGTGGCATCATAATTTGTCTTACGACAAAACTCGATGGATTAAACCAGAAAATGGCTTACTCTGGCTACCAATCATGTGTTGGAAGCAGGTAAGGTAAGCAATTACTTGGTCCACAGGAGATTTACTGGCTTTTTCTGCTCCCTCACAACAAAAAGTCGATATCTTTTATATGGTCTGCTGGCAGACAGAGTCATCCCACTCAACCCCCTTGCATATCCCCCCAAATATAAATATTAATCATGCCCACCAACCTACGACATTAAAATGCGAAACAAGTAAGAGATGTGCACGATAAACATCTCCAGTGGGCAGAATTTCTCCATCAAACACTTCTGTTTTAGCTGCGTCAGGTCTGTCCCAAAGCTCTGCATGGCAGCATTAGGATAACCTTGTCAGGTAGCCTGGTGAGTTAGACGCTCGAATGGTTTATATATATATATATATATATATATATATATATATATATATATATATATTATCATTAAGCACGGCCATGAACCAAGAAAACGTTTAGCCAAGGGTTTAACAGGACAAAAATGGCGATAAAGATAAGCTCCGTGCTTCAAATTGTCTCCTTTATTCCCTGTGAATTTTCACTCTTGGGTGCATATCAAACATGTTCGGGCGGGTGGGGAATTAATCCAATTTGTGTATGAAATACATAAGAGTTTGCAGTTGGAGCATCTTGCAGAGAAAATGGTCAACATTTTAAGCAGCAGGTGGTACCTCTGAAGGCAATCGAAAAGGAAGAAAGAATAAAGTGGTGTCACTCTCTTATGATACCAAGAAAAACAAAGAAGCTAAGTAAATATAAAGACTGATACTTTTCCGGAAACATTTTGTGATCAGCTGGTTTGAGTTAAAATCTGTTGACATAAGTGCTCAAATGGTGATATTCATCTAGTGAATTTAATTTAGAAGATATTTCTTGAATTTTTCACTTTTGAATTTCGGGAGTGATGCAATTTAGTGCTCAAGTTTCCTCGGGAAAAAAGAAATACGCGGAGTAAAATTCTCTACCAGGCCTTGCTGGTGCTTGCGCCAGACTCTGCTTTCGTGGTGTGGTGGTGAGACAAAAAAAAGGAAACGCGTGAAAACCTTGCACTTGGCACACAGCTACCGATTGTGATGCATTTTGTAAACAAACCAAACTTAATGCGTCCAAACGGTTGGAGTCGCTGGGGTTTTTGGGCTTGGAGGCACCTGGCGCCCTTGCTCTGTGCATACATAGACATGATTCAGATGTAGGTGAGGCATGACATAGGCATAGGTGTCCAGGTTCTGTGGAGCCTCGTTTGTGCTCGGTGGTTTCAAGTGAGCTCGGTTTTGGATGACATCTGAAAACCTCAGAAAAGGAAATAGAGGTTTGGCATGTGCAATTAGACAATGTCAGGCCGGAGTGAAAAATTCACATAAAATATGGGGAAAAGGAGTGAAAAAAATTCCTCCTCATTGGGTGTTGCTTTACACCCAAAGTCGGCAATTCTAGGACACTGCTTCTGGAACGCGCGATCATTTTTGGAAAGTGTTGCCTCTGGCTTGTGCGGTGGGCTGTGGCATGAAGACCACCGTTCGCGACGTGGCACCCTGCCATTGGCCGGCGTCGGAGGTGCGGTCCGCGACCGGTCAGCTGATGTCCTCGAATACAGCCTGTACCGAAAGTACGTCTACGACAATGGCGCGAGGCGGGCTGTGCGCGTACGTGATGACGGGGGTTCGTGGAACCGCGCCTTTGACTTTGACTGGTCATCAAAATCGTTTACGTCGTTTGTGTGGCGACTGGAACAGTTTTTTCTGGCCAGTGACGTTCCGGCAGGTACAGCAGTGAAGCGTCGCGCGATTTTCACCAGCGTGATGTGTTCGAGTACCTTCAGACTGCTGAAAGACCTGGCGTCGCCGCGGAACCACTCCGAGCTCGAGTGCAGCGCGTTGGTGCAGATACTATCTGGCCATTTGAGGCTGAGAAGTCGGTCCTAACCGAACGATTCCGGTTCAATCCGTGCTCTCGGGCAAACGGCCAATCAGTGAGTGATTCTGCGGCCCGGCTGCGCGAGCTGTCTAAGCACCGCTTGTTTCTGGCAAACGTGGGAGAGGAGGACCTGCAGGACAGGCTTGTGTGTCACGTTCGGGACACAAGGTTGCAGACCCGTTTGCTGAGTGAGACAGGCCTGACGCTGGGGTCAGCGTTGGTGGTGGCGTGTATTCTTAAGTCAGCCAAGGCTCAAACGCAGGAGATGGGTCGCTACGCGCCGATGGCCTCCGGCGAGGGGCGGCTCGCGACCTCTGACGTCACGCGTCACGTGGACGACCGGGTGGAGCCGTGCGCCGGCCACCAGCCAATCGCGGGGCGACCCGGCTCAATCATCTCCATTGAACTATGAACAAGTGTAATGATCAGGCACAGGTCACGACTAACAAGTTTTTTATTGAAGAACTTGGCTTAGGGGTTAGCTTCTGGTGCTCATCTTGAATTTGTTAATGACAGGGACCGCAACATACATGTCCCATGAACTTTTTAAAGGTCAGAGTAGGTCGCTGACACCATTTACACCAACGACATCAAGACCTGGGCCGCGATCTTGTGTTATCTGATATAGACAGAGCTTTGCGTATTAAGATAGCATTAGTTGTCAATAAGTAAATTGGCACGTTCGTATAGCCGTGACAAGACCAGAATATTTTGAAACACAATGTAATTATTTAGATCGACTTTCTCGCAATCTGTACGTCCACCCAGCAAGCAAATTTGTAATGCAAGCATGTCGGCTTTGAAAGGCAAGTGACTGACATTTGGTGTTGTGTACTGTGATGAGTGTTTGATATGTGAGGGTAGTGCTGAAGTTTATCACATGTCGGTGTATCAAAGATATCAATTTGGCTACAGTTTAGTGAGAACGTCCTGGACGAAAAAACCCTCCTGAGACTACAATTGGTAATAATTT